CACACACACACACACACACACACACACACACACACACACACACACACACACACACACACACACACACCCTATATAACTTCTGTATGATCCTTCAATGCGGCTGGAAACAGAGGCTACAGAAGACCTGTCTGCCCAGGTCTAGGAAAGCTTTGCAGAGAAGGTCACTGTGGTCTCCTGATATAGTTCATCAGTCTGGCTGCTCTCCTTTGGACATACCCCTAAAATGTTCTAAATTCTCTTAATTTTTCACTGCATCTTATTTGCATTACCCTTCTTTTTGCTGCAAAATAGTATTATTGACATCCTATTACTACCAGAAAGTGGAGTCATGAACACAGTACTTGACGACAAACACTTTCTGATTAAAAGTACAATTAAGGAACTATTAAACAATAGATATATTTGTCTAATACACTCTCCATAATTTTATAATGTCTTGCTGGTGTTGTCCTCTGTACTCCAGTCCTTGAGGAGCACAATCAAGGACTGAGAAACAATTCCGATCCTCAAGTTAACAAAAATCTAGCTTTTGCTTCCTTGGGTCACAGCAGTCTTGAGGGCAGCCAAAGGCATGTGTAACAGTGACCGTTGCTCTCTGACAATCCCAAGGATCCTTCCATCCTTCCCCTACTCTAATTTTGTGTTAATAAAGCTGATAGAGTAGTATTAAAGTATCTAAATGCTGTTCTGTCTTATAAATTCTAATACTTCAAAACACTGTAGCACAGTTTAAACTATCTGAACTTGGACTTTGTTCCGAGGTATACCTCTTCAAAGTCTGTGAAAGGTTTGTTGTACAAATTAGAAATAAAAACCAGATTTAAAAGAGGGATATATAAGTGCTTGAGAAAATAAACTTTTCTGTGTCAAGTCATGGCAATTTGCTTCTTATGTATCTCCTAAAAAATTGTTTCCAAAGATTTTTATTTTTATTAGTCTTTCATCTACTGGTTAAAATGGGTAACGGGGACAGAAAAAAAGAGTGTTTGGTGATAAGGTTAAAACAAAATGCTCCCTTTGCTTTTGTTAGTATTCTCATTGTCAAAGCATACACTAATGTGTGCATTTATGGTTTATTGTTCTCCGTTTCTTCTCATAAGGAGAACACTAGCTAAGAAGATGCCTAAATGGGGGGAAGCTATGGCTTGAATAACCAACACAACTATATTATGCTTTCCCAAATCATTTCCAAGTCTGGCTGAAAGGCTGTTTGTGATGCTTTAACAAAAGGCAGACTTTTTCTGTGGACTGACTGCACGAAAGAATTACTAACAGAAACAATGTTAGTAGGCAATGTTTGGTATAAGGCATGATATTTGGTAACTGAGTATGGGCTCCAGGGTTATACTGTCAGAGTCTGAATCCTCACCTCATCATCCAGCATCTGTGATCTGGGGCAAATCTCCTAACCTTGGTATTCCCCAATGAGGATGTAATCATGTCCACTGCACACGCACTCACAGCAGTAGGGCAAGGTTAGAGAAGTAAAAGATGCTTAGAACAGTGCCAGGCATTAGATAAGAACTTAGTAAATGTAATTATTAATGATGTAGTTGAGGGTGCTGTCCATCATTGTACAAAACTGTTGAAGTTTGCATGAACTGTCCAAGGAGGCAGGGGTATCAGCTGTGAAAGCCCATCCGGCCACTGAAGTTCCCAGAGGCCTAGAGCACAGCCATCACAATTCATGGTCAGGTCTTCGAGTTTAAGAGCACGGAAATTTTATTCTCTTATGTTTCAGAGGCAGTTGAACTTTAGTGGGTAAATCCACAGTATTTAAACTCACAAGAGACTATGATTTGGCCTTGGAATCTTAGTGGTTAAGTATCAAGTCAACTGAACATTTATGTTAATGGGTCAACGCCTTCCTGTTAGGTGCATAGCATGGTGGGTGTTGAATCAGAGGAACGGGCAATAGTGGGAACTGCTCCCTCAGCTGGGCAACCAAACCCAGTTTCCTGGAAGAGTGGGATGTCCCCAGGGTCTTGTTTTTCTGGACCCTTTTCATCAGCCTCAGAACTCAACCTCTAACCCTGTCATAGATTGCCAAAACTGCCATAGACTTTTTTCTAGGAATGAAGCCTCTTAGGGACTTTATTTTCCTATCTTTCTCCCTCATCACAGATTTATGTATAAATAACGTACATATACAAAACTGTATGAATAAATATCGGCTTGCTCACCTTGCTCTAAAGATTTGCTATTTTGATTCAGGTTGTAAAGCAAATGAAAGGCCATTTTAGCGGTTTTCATTTTAACCTTTACCCTTTTGCAGATTTTAAGTGATGTCTAGAGAGTCTGTACTAAAAGTCCATGCTCGAGTGGTGCAGTCTACTTCCTTCTGTTTATCTGTCTCCCTTTTCCTGTGCAATTGGCTTCTCGTGATCGGAGACCACTGACTTGGTAAACACATTCCAACAGAAATCAAAAAAGCCTTTAGGGCTTCCCTGGTGGCGCAGTGGTTGAGGGTCTGCTTGCCGATGCAGGGGACGTGGGTTCGTGCCCCGGTCCGGGAGGATCCCACGTGTCGCGGGGCGGCTGGGCCCGTGAGCCATGGCTGCTGGGCATGCGCGTCCGGAGCCTGTGCTCCGCGGCGGGAGAGGCCGCAACGGTGAGAGGCTCGTGTACTGCAAAAAAAAGCCTTTTATTTGCACTTACCGGCAGTATAAAAATCACTCAACTCATGATTCATCTCTTTTCACTGACAGCTTTATAATTTTATGTTTCTTTAGACTTGTGCTGTCTAATACAGTAGCCACTGGCCACATGTGATTATTTACATTTAAAATAACTAAAATTGTATTAATTAAAACCAACAATAAAAAATAAAATGAAAAATTCAGTTCCTCAGTCTCATCAGTTACACTTCAAGTGCTCAGGAGCCACATGGGGCTTGTGCCTGCCACATTGGACAATGCAGGATCGGAACATTTCATCGCTGCAGTTCTGTTGGGCAGCCTTATCCTAAATAGTCTTATTTCCTTAACAGAGGTAGAAAAGCATCTCTACAAGTCTATGGCTTCTCTAATTGACTGGGTTTAAAACTCAAAGCTTAGCCAAAACGCTTCCCCTTTCTTTCATTCTCTTTGTAAATAATTTTAGTTCATCATGTATTCAGTACAGAGCACGAAATTATAATTTCACAACCAGCTTGTTGGTGACTGACTATGAGTTCTTCATGGGAAAGCAGATGGAATCTGTAATTACAGCACAGGATTATATATTTAGTCATGTGGCATTCTGTTATAGCTATCATTTTATTCTCGGCACCCTTTTTAATAAAAAATTACTATAATGCTGCAGGCTCTGTAGGAGAAACACATGTCATGCCAAGTTTCTCCACTGTCTGCCAAACACTGGTATTTCTCCTCCTTTGACAGCCCTTACAGTGGTAACTCTCACGGTCTCAAAGTTCCTCTTAAGCTTCTGGTACCCCCAATCGCCTTTTTCTTAAGGATGACCAAAAGATATGGCAAAATACTGAAGCGTTTTCTGAACCACTGAAGGAGCATTAAAAGATATTTAAATGTATTTCCACCTACCCTGCTCCTTTGAGAACTGTAGCCATTCTGTGGAGATCACGAGAAATCTATGCTTCAACATAGTTCTTTCACTCACGTGCTAGTAAAATCAGCTTTAAAAATACTGAAATATCAGAAGTCTCTGAAGTGGAAGTTCTAAAATGGAAGGAAAGGTAACCAGCCAGGATGCTAGGGAAACTGACTTAAGTGGAAAAGGTGATCTAAGGCTTTGATTCTCAAGGGTTTGGTGGTGGGTTGGGGGCCTTACAAGGGTAGGATGGTGACTGTGGACTCTCTCCCTGTAGAATGCACACCAAAAGTTCTGCACACAATTTCAGAGAGACAAGCTGTCCCTGGAGCCCACTGATGGCTCCGTGAACCTCAGATTTGGAAACTTCTTTGCTGGCATCAACAGACAGTACAACAGTTAAGGCACTTCAAGGCCACAAGTATAAAAAAAGAAGTTTCCAGAGGCACTTTAATATATTCCTTTATAGACATTTATTGAGGATTTCCATATATTGGGTATTGTTCTAGGTAGTGGAGATAGAGAAATAACATAATCTTTTGTCTGAAGAAAGTCATTCATTTACTGGACAAATATTGAGTACATACCATATGCCAAGTATTCCTTTACATCCTGGGCATATAGATCAGGCCTCAAGGCGACTTACATTCTAGTGGCAGAAACAGTCAATTAACAAATAATGTAATTCAGGTAATGATAAGATCAATGAAATTTTACCTGAGTTTTGTTGAAAAAATCTAGAATTTAAATTCCAAATCATTATTAACTTTTTCCCTTATTATGTCATTACTTCAGAAATCCCTTCTTAAGAATTACACTGTGATTCAGACCATCATTATCATCCAGTTTAAATATCAATTTATCAATTTATTGATCCACCACTACTGTGTTTATATTTTGTCCTCCCCAATCTTGGCTTAAGTATTTGCCAAGTAATTTGTTTACGTGTACAGTTGATATACTTGTTGAGTTTGTGAATGCTGAACATGTCTTTTTCACGTATGAATGATAACTTAGCAAGGTATAAATTTCTAGAGACACAATCCTTTCCTCTGAACTCTGTTGATTATCCTCAATAGAGGGCTGGTGAAGGGAAGGTCTAGATCACTTGCTGAGGTCTCATCTTTCCTTATTTTTCAGTAATATTTCTGCTTCCTATTACATATTTTCTATTCAGTCAAACTCCTATTTTATCCACCATAAATGCAGCATTCATTCCCATTTTAAACCTTCCTGGTGTCATTTTCCCCATTTGAATATCCTTCCTCATCTCAGCCTACCCCATTGTATCCATTCTTCAAATCACATCTAAAATTCTACCACCACCGCGGACCTTTCTCCATTTATCCCAGTTCAAATTAATTCCCCCTTCCGCATCACAACATTTATTGTCTCTGCCATATGTTTTTGTACTTCATAGTATCCTAGAATTTTACATCTAGAAGAGATCTGAGAGATATAATCCAACTCCCTAATTTTTCAGATTAAAAAAGATGCGGTTAGTGATGATGAGCTAGTGATGACTCCAAGTGCTCTGGCATTCTGGGGCTTTAATGCCTTTAATGCCTATCTAAGATGTTTCTCAAGCCTCAATCACCGGGTATTTTTAATAGTTCTTCCTTAAAATTTCTCTGGATTTCCAGGCCCTTATGCTCTCTTGGTCAGCGTTGCAGACAGCATCCTAGCCATTGCTCTAGGCTCTTCTAGAGGCCATTTTTTCTTACTGGTTCATGTCACTGGAACCCGTAAGTGCAGCAAGCCTGGTGCATATGGCAGACTTTTACTGAAGATTTGTCTCCCAAAGAGTCTAAGAGCCTTGAGGCTTTGATAACTCTTTCAGCTTCTAGTACAGAGCTAGACATGCACAAACAACAGCTTCAATTTTGATATTAGATAATGCTGTCCTAAAATCTAACAGTCATTTTCCCTCCAAGAGGTATTTTTATCCCAGCCACGTCCTTTCGGGTCATTGCTTACTGCCATCTTCTCTATCTTTACTCTTTTAACCTCACACAGTTATATCTCCTTATTCAGAATAATCTATCTCTCCATCCTCTACCCCAAACTGAACATCAATTTTTGCTATGTCTCAAAACACATTAAGATGTCCATTTAGAAAGGGCCAACACAAAGAACCAGGTAAAGCTTTGAAATTCAATTTTTTTCCCTTTAACATAAGGAGAACCTCCTCCATGGTCTCTGGAAATGGAAGAAAAATAGTGTAATAATTTGTTTTCTCCTTGACCAAACAAAACCCACGGGGGTCATGCATTTGTTATTGTTCATTTCAGCTCCACATGAATTCTCAAGATCTCACACCAAGATACAGGACTTCTTAGAGTCGTATACTTTTTCTTTATACTATATTACCTTTTCCCCTGTTCCAGATTTTATCCAGTTTTACACTTTGTGATATGCTGTTATCTTTTGCTTTTTAGTTATTTCACATATGTAATTCCTGCTTTTCAAGAGAGGGTGTAGTGGTTAGAAAGCAAGTACTGATCACTGAGACTGTCAGGGCATCTAATACATACAGGTTCTCAAGGATTCTTGTGTATTGGCTAAGAATTATACTAATATATGTTATTTAATGAGCATCTATTATGTGCCGGACAATGTGCTAAGTGCTTTACATACATGATCTCTAATCCGCTCCTTAATCCTTTGCAATAGGTATTATTATACCCATTATCAGAGAAGGAAACTGAAATTCTAACAGCTTAAGTAACTAGTTTGGTTCCCCATGGCTAAAATGAGAGACTACACCTGCCGGATTCCAAAATACTTTGCTCTTCCCTCCATACTCCAGGAATTCCAAAGCTGCCAATGTTGACAACTGTGATGGTTTTTAAATAAAAATTTTACAGTGCACTTTGTGGGCAGTGACCACATCCTTTTTGTAAGACTTTGCTCTCTTTAAGTTTCAACACACCACTCATGTTTTATGTGCTTTTAAAGCTTGTATGTGGCTCTGATATTTTTCTCTTTGAATTTCAGTTTGATCCATTAACAATTGAAAGCAAAAAAGCAGCAACCGTGGTGTTAATGCTTAATTCTCCAGAAGAAGAAATTTTGGCTAAAGCATGTGAAGCCATTTATAGATTTGCTTTAAAAGGTTTGGATTTTTTTCAGTTTATCTTTCTATTTCATTAGTTTCTTAAAAATATTTGCTACATAATGGGCACTTTTCTCCCCAGTCTTTAACTTACTTCCTGTCTGATGAATTCTTTCAGACAATCAGAATATTATTTAATGCATCACCTGAAAGTAATGTATCTCCCTATGTGCCTAACCCAGTCTTAAGGAGCAATTTAGTCAATGGGTAGAAGAGTCATTTTGAAGGCTTTATTGCAGTTTAAAAAACTGTAAATGTCACAGGAGCTGAAAGAGCTCCTAAGGATCAAGGCTGGAATAATTTGAGCAACAAAATAAACAAAGTATTAGATTTATAGCCCTATAATTTATATTAAAGAAGAAAATAAATATCCATAAGTCTATACAAATAAATGATTGAATAAGTAAATAAATGGGAGAGAAAAGACAAATCTCCAATGCAGAAGGATCCCAATTTATGCAGATACTCTGCCCTTGAGGAGGTGGGATGCAACTTCTATTCTTTAGGTGCTGTGCATAGTGACATTTTTCCAAAGAGTGCAAGATGGACACAGGGGGAAAAGAGTAAGTTTGTAGCAGAGAAACCTGACTAACACTTCCTCTGCCAGGTGATCAAAATCAACATCAACAGAGATAAGTCATTTGATAATAAATGCCCTTGACATGACATAATGAAAATGGCACTTCTTTGTTATTTTCCCCAAAACCTATAGCCCCAGTCTAAATATGATTTTTTAAAAAAATAAAACAAATTCCAATTCAGGGACATCCTCCAATTACCTAACCAGTACTCTCAAAACTGTCATAGCTATCAAAAACAAGGAAAGTCTGAGAAACTCTCACAGCCAACAGGAGCTAAGGACACACAGTGGCTAAATGTCATGGGGGATCCTGGATAGGATGCTGGAACAGAAAAAGAAAAACTAACAGTAAGGAAATCTGAATAAAATGTGGAATTTCATTAGTAATAACATATCATTATTGGTTCAATAACTGCATCAAATGTCCCTACTAATGTAAAATGTAAAATAACAGGGGAAACTGGGTGTGGGACACATGGGAAATATCTGTATTATCTTTGAAATTTTTCTGTAAAACTAAAACTGTTGTAAAATATAAAGTTTACTAAAATGTTGTAAATGTTACAAATTAGATTCTATTGAAAGACTTGTTCATAGAGGATTTACAAACATAAGAGATAGTTACATTTTAGTTCATTCCAAGTGGTGATAAAATCAGACTTTTATTATACAGTGTAACATTGAAATTGGAAATATTTGAAGAGTTTAGTGTAGTTGGTATTTTTAACAAAACCTTTTTAAACTAAAATGGGAGCAATTTGATTTTAAAGAAATGGTACTTTAAAACATTGTTTGGACCACCTGGAGGGGTGGGATAGGGAGGGTGGGAGGGAGGGAGACGCAAGAGGGAAGAGATATGGGAACATATGTATATGTATAACTGATTCACTTTGTTATAAAGCAGAAACTAACACACCATTGTAAAGCAATTATACCCCAATAAAGATGTTAAAAAAAAAAAACATTGTCTGGGGGACTTATATGAGAGAACAACAAATCATTCAATTAGCAAATGGTAAAATACTCACCTGGCTAGTCATCACCATCACCTCACTCTAGTCATCATTGGGAATTCTGATAAAAACCAGAGTGGTTCTGGAAGGTATGGTTCATGAGTAGACTGTGTAGAATACTGGGTCAAATTTCAGGGAGATATTGGATCATGCATCTATAGCACAGAGTCATTGCATGTCATCTCTTTTTATATTGTAAGTCTGATATTCAGTACTAGCAGTATTTTCTGAAATATTTTCTTAAGTTAAATGATGGGACTCTGCCTTCTTGCCAAGATGAAGTAAGGGGCCAGATTTAACCTCCTTACCAGAACAAGTAAGAAAACAGAAAAATATATGAAATAAGAGTTGGCAACACACTGCATACCAGGCCATTGAGAAACAGGAAACAAAGGAAATTAGCCCTCTGATTGCCCCAGCCTATTGATTTCAGAGAGCTTCCAGGCCATAGCCCAGGAAGGGGTAACCTGTGCAGAGCCTGGTGGACTCTCTGAGTTGAGACGATAGACCTCAAAATCCAGGAAGATGAAGGCAGCAAGTTTTCAGGACAGAGTAACAGAGAGGAAAGAGTTGCACAGAGAGAGAACTCAGGAGGTCTGTAAAGGCTCCCACTCAAGTGTTCAGCTTGATCCACATGTATATGTGTGGGGACTACTTGAAGTCAGACAAAGCACCCAACAGGATCAGAGGTAACAGTGCCTAGTGCTCACACAGGGTCAGAAGTAGTGCCTGTTCGCATCAGCCAGACTGCAAAACCTCAAGATTCGTGGAGAATTGTGCAAGTACACAGAAGGGTCTTGCCTCAATAGTTAGAAATAATTAGGCCTAGATTGAGCCCTGTTCTAGTACTATCAAATAAATATTTTAAAAGCAAGCCTGAAAGGATCAAACTTTCTCCAGATAACTGTGTCCCAGAACAAACTTCAAGGTAACAACAATATCCATTGCCCAACTAGGTAAAATTCACTATGTCTGGCACCCAGTAAAAAATTACCAGGTGTGACAAAAAGCAGGAAAATACAATGCATAATGAGGATATAATTCAATTTGTAAATCAAAACTGACCCAATGTAGGTGTAACTTGAGTCTCTGAATAAAGGTGTGAGGAACAGAATAAGTATTTCAGAAAATAATAGTTAAAATTTCCCCCAATTTGATGAAAACTCGAAGGCCCCAGATCCAAGAAGCTTAACGAAACTGAAGCACAATGAACATGAAGAGAACTACAAGGCACATTATAATCAAATTTCTTGAAAAGACTGATAAAGAGAAAATCTTAAAAGCATCCAGAGGAAAAAAATGTTACATTCAGGGCAACAAAAATAAGGATGACAACAGATTTATTATCACAAATGATGCAAGCAAGAAGTCAGTGGAGCAATATCTTTAAACTGAATCACTTTTCTGTGCACCTGAAACTAACACAACATTGTAAATCAACTATATTACAGTAAAAGTTAAAAAAAAAAAAAAAAGTACCGGAAAAAACCCCAAAACTTTCAACCTAGATTTCTACACCCTTCAAAAATATCTTTCAAAAACATAAGTGAAATAAAGTCTTTTTCAAACATTCAAAAACTGAAATAGTTCATTGCAAGCAGACCCACACTACTAATTATATTAAGTAGGTCCTTCAGGCAGAAAGAAAATGGCACCAGATGGAAATATGGATCTACACAAAAGAATAAATATAGAACACTAGAAATGGTAACATATAAGGTTTTTTTGCTTATTATTTAAATCACTTAAAAAGCAAATTGGTTATTTTATTTTATCATTTTGTTTTATTTATTTATTTATTTTTGTGGTACACAGGCCTCTCACTGTTGTGGCCTCTCCCGTTGCGGAGCACAGGCTCCAGACGTGCAGGCTCAGCGGCCATGGCTCACGGGCCCAGCCGCTCCGCGGCATGTGGGATCTTCCTGGACTGGGGCACGAACCCATGTCCCCTGCATCGGCAGGTGGACTCTCAACCACCGCGCCACCAGGGAAGCCCACAAGTTGGTCATTTTAAACAAAACTAATAATCATATATTGTGTAGTCTGAAACATGTAAAAGTAAGATATATGACAACAGAACCAAGGTAGAAAGGTGAAAAATGGAAGTATACTATTGTAAGTGTACTATATGTGAAGTAGTATACTACCACTTGAAAGAAGACTGTGAGGACATACACTACAGACCCTAATGCAACCACAAAAATAACAAAGCAATGATATCAAATAAGCCAACAAAGGAACAAAATGGAGTCATAAAAAATTCAATTCATACAAAGAAGGCAGAAATGAAGAAAAGAAAAACAGCAATGAAACACATAAGAAATAAGTAACAAGATGGTATATTTAAACCTAACCATGTCAATAATCAAATTAAATGTAAATGGTCTGGATACATCAATTAACAGGGAGAGAATGCTTTATTAGACAAAAGGCAAGACCAAACTGCATGATGCGTTCAAGAAATGCACTTAGAATATAATGACACAAATAACTTGAAAGTAAAAGGATGAAAAAGGATATTCTATGCTAGCACTAATCAAAAGAAAGCTGAAGTAGCTATATTAATTTCACAAAAATAGACAAAAAAAAAGAGTGATACCAGAGATAAACATGGCCATTTTATAATAATAATAAAGGGGTCAATTAATCAAGATGCTATGAAAAATCCTAAACAATTAATGTACTTAATATCAGACTTTCAGATTACATGAAGCTAGAAATGCAAGAAGAAATAGACATCTACAATTATAGCTGAGGATTTTGATACTCTTCTCTCAATAAATGAAAGAACCAGTAGACAGTAAATCTGTAAGGATATAGAAGATTTAAACAGCAATATAAATTAATTTAACCTAATTTATATTTATAGAACACTCCAAGAACAGCAGAGTATACATTCTTTTCAAGTGCACATAGGACATTTATTGAAATGGGTTATATTCTGGGCCATAAAACAAGCTTTAATAAATTTAAAAGAATTCCAGTCATACAAAATACATGCTATTCCACATTAGAATTAAATTAAAAATCAATAACACAAAGAACTCTGGACAATCACTAAATAGTCGGAAAGCAAATAACACACTTCTAAATAACCTGTGAGTAGGGGCTTCCGTGGTGGTGCAGTGGCTGAGAATCTGCCTACCAATGCAGGGGACACGGGTTCGATCCCTGGTCCAGGAAGATCCCACATGCTGTGGAGCAACTAAGCCTGTGTGCCACAACTACTGAGCCTGTGCTCTAGAGCCCGTGAGCCACAACTACTGAGCCCGCATGCTGCAACTACTGAAGCTCGCACGCCTAGAGCCCGTGCTTCACAATGAGAGAAGCCACCGCAACGAGAAGTCCGTGCACTGCAATGAAGAGTAAACCCCGCTCACCACAACTAGAGAAAGCCCGCGTGCAGCAACAAAGACCCAACATAGCCAAAAATAAATAAATTAATTAAAATAATAATAATAACTAATAAATAAATAACCTGTGAGTGAAAGTAGAAATCAGAAGGAAAATCCAAATTAAAAATGAAAACACAGCATATAAAAACTTGTAGGATGCTACTAAAGGAGTATTTAGAGAGAAATTTATTGCACCAAGTGCCTGTTAGAAAACAAGAACATCTCTCAAATCAATGACCTGAGCTTCCACTTTAAGAAAATAGAAAAACAAGAGCTAATTAAACCCAGGCATTAGTAATAAGGATATAATATATACCTGAGCAAAAATCAATGAAACAGAAAACAGAAAAACAGTGGACAAAAGCAGTGAAATGAAAATGTCTAGCCAGATTGATAAATAAAAAGAAGACAAATTATTGATATGAGGAATAAGAGCATCACTATAGCTCCTATAGATATTAAAAGGATAATCTAAATGTTATGAACAATTTAATGACAATAAATTCTACAATTTAGATGAATTCATCTAAGTTGCAAATTCATTTTAAGACACAAACTCTCCAAGCTCATTAAAGAAAAACAGATAGCCTGAATAGCCCCTTATCTATTACAGAAATGGAAATTTGTAATTTAAAAATCTCACAAAGAAAACTTTAGGTCCAGATGTTTTCACTGCTGAACTCTGCCATACACTTATGGAAGAAATAATACCAATTATACACAAACTCTTTTAGGAAATTGAAAAAGATGGAATATTTCTCTATTGATTCTATGAAGCCACCATTTATTTAAGTATCCTAAAATTTATCCTTAAATTAAAATTTATTTGGGACTTCCCTGGCGGTCCAGTGGTTAAGACTCCATTCTTCCAATGTAGGGAGCGAGGGTTCCATCCCTGATCAGGGAACTAAGATCCCACATGCTGTGTGGCACAGCAAAAAAAAAAAAAAAAAAAATTATTTGACAAAATATTTTCATCTAAGAAATTCACTTTTAGAACCCCAATAAAATGCAAACATTATGGAAGGTTTGAGAAGGACGTTTGTAATAGTCAATAATGCATATTTCAGCATATTCTTATCAAAGTGACAGATTTAATCATTTAGATACAGGGCAGTTCCACAGGCTATAGGAAGGTACAGTCTGTGTTCAGAGAACTGAGTTATCAGAATGAACCTATAAAATATTTTAATTTTATAAGAAAACTGAGGCAAAAAAGTTTAAAAGACTATTTTACTCAAATTAATTTTGAAAATGAAATATGCATTTTCATAGCTGGTGAAATTGAAAAGCTGAAATTAATCAGGACCTAAATATTATTCCAGACTTTGCAGAATGATATCCCACTTATTGGGGTAGGGATAAGCTGCTTTTACAGTTAGGCCAGATGCTGGCTTTCACTGACCTTCTGGTTCTGAGGCTTCTTGCCACAGCTAAGGAATCCCAGTAACCCCAGTGGCTCCGCTTTGTGTGTGTGCCTCCATGGTGGCTGCAGACAAACCCACAGGGTGAAAAATGAGCACCCTAAACTCCACCACACTTGAATTTGAAGTGGGGACTCTGTGTTAATTTTTATAATTAATTATGCAAGTAAGTATTATTGAGTGCCCATTACATGCCTGGCACTGTGTTAGGCATGAGGTTATAAGAGAATAGAACAGAAAGGGTATCTGTCTTCATGGAAAGTTAAGTAACGGGTGTAAGTGAACAATGCACGGAGATCGTTGAGTGGTATGAAGGAAATAAAGCAGGATAAAGAGATATCAGAAAGACTGGGATGTAGTGATGACATTAGGTAGGGTGATCAGAAGAGACCCCTCAGGAGGTTCAGTGTGAGCTAAGAACCAAATGAGGAAGCCAGCTTTGTAAACATCCAGGGAAGGGAGAATAGCAAGTCCGGGATACGTGAGCTCTAAGGTTTATTCTGAGAGAAATACGTGTGGAAGCAGAGGATGTGAAAGACAAATGGCAAATAAGAAATTGGAATGACACAAAGAAGAACTTTGATGAGATTTCTATCCATGTCTGATTTTATTTTACCTGTGATGTCAGGTGAAGAAAATAAAGCAACCCTCCTTGAACTTGGAGCTGTGGAACCGTTAACTAAGCTGCTCAACCACGAAGACAAAATTGTGAGAAGAAACGCTACTATGATATTTGGAATTCTGGCTTCTAATAGTAAGTATCCGCTTTTAAAACTAATCAAATAATCTCACATGATGCATTATACTTTTAAATTTAACCTTAAGGGACTCATTTTAATTTTATTTAAGCTGATTTTAATGTTAACAAGAAAGTTAAATAAGTGTAATGTGCAACAAATGTATGATTTCATATTTTAAGTGATATTTTTAAATATAAAAATATGTGCACATATATCCATGGAAAAACTCTCAGAGTTGGTGATGTAGTATGTTCCAGTCTTACAAGTTAGGAGAACAATCATTGTCTCTTAAAATTAAAATAGTTTTTTTCTTGAGTTAGGATAATGTAATTTGAATGCTTGCCTGTGTAAGTTACACTTCAAGTGTATTTCATTGTAACTGAAGCCCAGAGTAAAAAGTTTTGATACACTTATTTTTTGAAGCTGCAAGTTGTATTTTGCCAAAAATAAATTTAGATATGTATTTACTCCTTAAATCAGACCTATTACTTGCTTTAATATTTTCACATATTTAATATGGTGGAATAACAGTATTACTTAAAATATGCTGTCACTTCTATTAGAATATCAGTTTGACTAAAACCATGCAATACAGGCAGACCCTGACTAGTGAACAGGACGTGTTTTCCGTTTGTAAGTCATTTTCATGTTATGGTGGTAGATTTTCGAGTTGGACAACAAAAGCCTTGTTATTTATAATAAAAAATGACTTTCTTGGTGGAGACTGAATTCTGTCATGAAACATGGGCTCATAGGAATAAACATGTCTCTATCATGGCACGTGGCTAAAATCATCCTACCTTCTCATTTTTACCATGGTCTTAGCAAGCACACAAGCACAGATTCCTCCTCCAGCTTCCTGCACTGTCCCAGCTCACATACCCTGGACCCTCTGTGATGCAGTGGGGGCCCCTCATTCCATGGTGTCCAGCAGGGACTGTGGCCTTGGTGTCTTCAGAGACAGTTATGAGTGGAGGAAGGGGGAAGGGAGGGGAAGGAGAGCCTTCTCTGGCATCTGTGCCATCACAGCCTCAGCTGCGGAGACCACGTGAACAGTACCTGCAGTGTTATGGGGTTGGCGGGGGCACTTTGCAGTTAGTGGAAGGGTTTCTGGTGGAAACTCCAGCTCTAGCGGTGGCTGTGCTGCAAGGCGGGGGCTCTGGGAGTATTTCTGGGAATGACAGCAGGATGAGGACAGTCAGCGGGCAGTGGATATTCCACCAATGTAGATTACAATAACACTAGTCAACACTTACAAAGTACTTACAATGTGCCAGGCACTGTTGTACATAGTATTTATGTATTAAATCGCTTAATGAGGTTCGTGCTATTATTTCCTTTACATATGAGGTGACTGAGGCACAGAGAAGTTAAAATAAAGTAGTAATCATTCGTATTGTGGGGCCTTCATAAATCTGTCTCTGGGGTTGTCTGTAGACTAATTCTGCCATATTGAATGTGCCATATAGAATTATTTATAACCAAAGCAGGGAAAATATTTAAATTTCTTCCATTTTATTCTGCATGCATACCACAGAGTTTGAAAACCAAAGGTGCTTTGTAACACCCCATGTGCAACTCCTTATTTTATTTTATTTATTTTAATTTATTTTAATTAATTAATTTATTTTTGGCTGTGTTGGGTCTTGGTTGCTGCACGCAGGCTTTCTCTAGTTGTGGTGAGCAGGGGCTACCACACTTAGTTGTGGTGTGTGTGCTTCTCATTGCGGTGGCTTCTCTTGTTGCAGAGCACGTGCTGTAGGCACGCAGGCTTCAGTAGTTGTGGCATGCGGGCTCAGTAGTTGTGGCTCGCAGGCTCTAGAGCGCAGGCTCAGTAGTTGTGGCGCAAGGGCTTGGTTGCTCTGCGGCATGTGGGATCTTCCCAGACCAGAGCTCGAACCCGTGTCCCCAGCATGGGCAGGTGGATTCTTAACCACTGCACCACCAGGGAAGTCCAACTCCTTATTTTAAACATAAGAAAGATCCCTCGAAGGACTGGGTTCCTTGCCCAAAATCATGCAGGTGGCTAGTAGCAAAACTGAGATGAGAGCTAAATTACAACCTTACTCTCTGACTCATAGTTCAGTAGACCTTCTATTCACTAAATCTTTTATGATCCTTAACATTAGTGTCCATGCTAAGTCAGATTCTCCTAAATGATTTAGAAAGGAGAGTTATAATTTCCTGTTTACATTTGTATTTTCAATTTAATATCTAGGTCTCTGTGATTTTTTCCCTTTTTTATGTTATTTATTTCTGTTATTCATTTTATTTTGTATTTTCATCTTCTAATATATACGAGTTCATTATCTGTGAAACCCTAGAATTTGTTTGCAAATTTTTCTGAGTAGGTTTTTAAGTTGAATTTCATGAGTTTCTAAAGGAGTCTGTGGCCCCCAAATGTTAAGAATACTGTCACATTTGGGTGCTAAATGAGATGGCTCCCTTAGACCTGTCAAACCACAATCTGTAAGCTGGCTGGCTGGCTGGGTAACCAGCGCTAGAACCAGTGCAGTCTGCAACTGCAGAGCTTAACCATGGGAAGAGCTTTGCTGTCTTCAAGGTCTCCACTGAGTGCCTGGGTCTCAAGTATACTGCATTAATTTATAAGGACCTTCTTTTGATTCTGTGAAGTGGGTGAAAAAAAATCAAACCAGGGCTTCCCTGGTGGCGCAGTGGTTGAGAGTCTGCCTGCTGATGCAGGGTACGCGGGTTTGTGCCCCGGTCCGGGAGGATCCCACATGCCGCGGAGCAGCTGGGCCCGTGAGCCATGGCCGCTGAGCCTGCACGTCTGGAGCCTGTGCTCCGCAACGGGAGAGGCCACAGCAGTGAGAGGCCCA